ATGGAAGGAAGTACCATGGGTTTCCTCCCTGATAGACATCTTCTGCGTATCTTCCAACTGCGATACCTGAGTTGTTTTTAATACCAGCATTGATACCATAGATGCGAAAGCTATTCACAACTGCTCTGAAATTAGACAACGCTCTGCTACTACAAGGTTGTAAATTTGGACTATCACAGGATCCATCAATATCGAAGATAGAAATCGGTCCAAGAATAGAGGCTCCGTCCAGCCCTGTTCTTCCGTTATCGACATTAATATTTGAGACAATATATTCTCCGTTCCAAAAACTTTGATTGAGGAAACATAGAGTTTCTAATGCATTAAGATATCCTGGAGATTCAACACCGAGTTTATTGGCCAGATTTCCGGCTTCAACAAAAGCACGGTGTTGATTTTGTACGGTAAAAAAGCTGGATCCCAGGACTTCTTCCCACAAATCATATCCAGTTTGGTTCCAATATTCGCCAATATATGATAAGTCATTTGCAATGACAGGCCATATGACTAGCTTGGCTCTTTGAAGCTGATTATGATTGATTAACCAATTGCTATAAGCCATTAAAGCGATAGCACGAAGAGCTGGACCATCACGTTGAGGTCTACCCCATGCTGGGGAATGTTAGCGGGTGCCAGAAATTACCTCTGAATATTACATACCACCATTAAATCGAGTACCATCAACCTCGTATTTCGGTTCACCAAGTCCTAGGCCATTAGGAAGAAAAGTGCCAGAAGGATTTGTAACAGTTTGAAGGATGGCTTGAGCTTTGACGTATTTCTCAATTTGAGATTGGAGTGCACGATTGCCAAAAATAAATTCATCAACAAGCATTTTTAACGTCAACGCAGAATCTCGAGTCCAGGTATAAAAGTCTGGATTCAATTAGCATGAATTGGCTTCGAAACAAAACAGTAGTCTCTCTCACAATCAGGATTGGCTTTCGAAGGACTTGCAATGACATAATTGCCTGCTCCTGACGCTTTCGACCCATCTGGTCCGATGTTGTTGAGAACACCCTGTAGGGCAATCTTTCTCTCAGAAGCAATGAAAGAATCGAGATTACTGTAACTTGCAGCCGAATCTCTTGGTGAAATCGCGTTCGCTTGTACACATAGCAGAGATAAAATCGCAACAGTTGAAGAAAGCAGCATCTTGAGCATTGATGATTGTTTACTTCAAGTCAAGAGGAGAAGAAACAAATGTGGTACAAACGAAATGACATATAGCAACATGAGCACTTGTTGATACTTTCTTGTACTTTTCCGTCTCATGTCACAAACGTCGTAATTGGTCAAACTAACCTCCACGTTTTTCACTCCATGTACTCCAGATGGAAGGAGCAAGACGACGGCCCGATTATCTTGCGGGGTTACAGGCGGGGAAGGTGCATAGATGCATGAAAGCCAAGTACTTTTGACATGTGAGGTTGGATATCAGGGGTTCTGTAGTATCGTGCCGCTGTCTTTTACCTAACATTGTTGCGGGAAAATAGGCATCTCAGCCAGTACGGATATTAATACATTCGCGAGTCGAACAAGTAATTGCCAATACCAAGGCAAAGTTGAGGGGCTGAGGAGCTGAGGTACGAGAATCTTCACAAATTGGCTTTCTTGAGATTCCGGATACACTTTGCCCAGAATGCCCAGAATGTATGTTTGATGAAAGAGAAGAGAAGAATTGGCTGCTGCATTAAAACGGCTATCAGACATCGGAAATTAGTAATAATCACATGATATTCCCGTGACTAAAAAAAGGTTATTTGTTGCATGTCTTAATTCAGGACCGCCGCACAAAGGTGATGGGTGAACTCCTTTGCTTATGTAATCTCCCAATATTACCATCAGACCGTTGAGAAATTTATCATCCCATTACAAGTTTTGTGACTTCAATTAGGTGATTCTTCCTTCGCCCTGGGTCTGGATGGGATAAGAATAGATAGTTTTCTTTCTCGACAACCATATGTACCTACTTCGACAAAATGGCTGAAGCACATCCATTGGGTTAACTTCATGGAAGAAAAGTGCTATATCATTACACTCAACATCTCACCCTCTGTCGTCCAGAGCGGTGAATACTGCACGAATATGAGAAGGGGTATATGAGGAGAAGCATTATCATATCCAACAAACAGGTCATATTTTTGTGTATATGGGAAACGTGGCTTTCAATGGCGTCTTCACAATGAACAGCGAGCACATAATTAGATTTGGCTTAAGCTGGGGAATTTCATCTCCATTAGTGGATCTATTGGGCTGACGAGATAGCATGGGCTCTCTTACTACCCAGGCTCGAATTCTCAATCAGAACTTATCAGTTTTAGACCTCTGATCCTCACCTGCATTCCTATTTTTCATACCTTATACCATAGTAAGTACTCCCGAGCATTCCGCCGTCGACGGGGGTAGAGATAGAGATGCTTACCTGCCAGTAGTGAATTAACTTTATCTTCTATTTCGACTTCTCGATATTAAATTTATTGTCAGCTAAAGGTTTTATTTGTCACTATTAACAGACCGTTGTTAGATTCTGTACGGGCTCTGTCGCATCTTGCATGGCTGGAACCCTTAATTTTCCCATGTAAGATCGATTTTTTCTTCCTGCTGATACACTTGAAAGGGTCACGATTATATCTGCGTGCCATACTTACCTCCAAGCACTCCATGCTGATGAAATCCTCAAAAGAATTTTGTATGTAGCCGCTGAAAAGGTCATATATTTCGGTCCTTATAATTGTTTATAGATAGGAAGGCTTCCAATACTCTCTTAAAGAGTATAAAGACTGAGTCCGACAGTAGGGTGCCCATCATGTATTGCAATTTTGAATTCGACGTTCACGGTCGATGTTCTTCCGACCGCACAGTAGAGTCTGGACTGAATTGATTAGCTGGTCCCAAAAGATATCACTTGGAGTTGATCATCAAGCTTTACTTGTCGCCTATTATTACTTGAACTAGACGAATTACATTCATCATGCACGGGTCAGTGATAACATCGAGACGACAACGACAACGAATGCCATGCCATCTGATCTCATGAGGCTAAAAATATGAGTTGAGCTTCTGACCAAATTAATTGCTACAACGTCACCTGTGACGAAGTATAGTTGAATTGTATATTTACTCCAGGTTTATCTTGAAAGCGGGCTGGTGTTAGCAACAAAAAGGGGAATTACTGAGACCACTTAGCAACTAGCAAGAATTCTTTTTATGGCCACAAAACTGAACTTACTTGAGCCACGCTATCACTGTTGGAGAGAGATGGAAAATAGCAATGAATACCTCCAGGGCTAGCCATGATTACTATTCTGAAGTGGCTCAGTCGTTAGTGTCGCTACACACCTTGGCAGGTATATAAAAGAAAGAGATTGGTGAATGATCTTCTTGCATATTATTGTTTCCGAGTCAGTTCATCACTTCCTTTATGTGCGCCTAGTACAATTGAATAGCACAAACTGGAATGTGGACAGAGGTGCGTTCAATAACCTTCAGGAGTATCCAGCGGCTTGATCCTGTAATGTTATAGTAAAGCATCTTTTCTCATCTCATGGCCATATATGTTGTCACTGAACTCTCACGCTATCTTACATGACTCCTTGTCACTTTCACGCAATCCGATACGTACGTATTAAAATCAAAATTTGGTAGTTACGTATACAACGTAACTTTCCCAACCAAGTTCATTTGAAGGTTCTTTATCAAAGCAGCAAAACTCGTTCTGTTGATCCGTAATGAGGGAAAAAATGCATCGTAGCGTTCTTTCTACCATAACGTGAATGTAAGCTTCTTATGCCTTAAATAAGGAAGCAGAGTTGACTTGGATGTAAATTGGGCCTGATATCAGTTTCTAAGTCAGTTGCTTTCTCCTCAAAATCTGTTGACTTCCCCTCTTCTCTTGATGTTTGACTCACGAAGACATTAACAAGCGAACATATAAAGAGGGAAGAAGCGTCCTGCAATTCGGAATCCCTATTCAATGTACATGAAACATCTTTACTATCGCATGCTGCTTGCTTGTAGAATCAGCACAGTCCGCAGTATCAACATTCCCATATACGGATGCTTTCCACTCTAACCCAGTGGCATCATCGCTCTTGGTAAAAATGAATGTAAGCGGCTCATATAGACAGGCACTTGAAGATTGTATTGTCGATTGCGTGAGTACGATAAAATCTGACTTTGGCAATAGAATATGAATTGACGACAACAAATAGGGAAAACGGCGTCTAAAAGATGGTGACCTATCTAGTAAACTGAATGACCACTTGAAAGATCTCTCGGCTATTCTTCCTCGAGTGTTTTCACAAATCACAATGAGGCTTGGTTGTCGAAGAGGCGCTGAAATACATAGAAATATTTTTCATATTCTCCCGGTCTTTCTTATATACTCGATGCCACAGTGAACTCTTGAGCTAAGCACTTTTGTTGTATATCTGAGTATGGTTTGAAACAACTCCTCACTCTGGATTTTCGGATGGGATTGGTTCAAAGTGCTAGATTATCCGAGATTGTATTCGCATTTCCGTCAGATGTGCAACAAGACTCCGCAGCTGCGTTATTTTCATGACCTTGATTGAAAAATTCACTGGGATCGAAGCTTTTGTTGCGCATCTTAAGAATGCAACAAAACTTAATTTCACTATTGGCTCAATTACTGTTTATGTATTACTTGTACTGGATGGCTGCATCCACTTGATGATTAATTGTGTTATGATGCGAATGTGGCGTGAATTAGTGACACTAAGCTGACAATTTGAGTACTCATGAGTCGGACGGTCCAGCAACCTAAAGTAACATCAAAAAGCCCCCATTCCAGAAACATTGACAACACGCAGTCAGCAAATCCAAAGTACGTTGGTGGGGTGGAAGTTCGGCAGTCCAAGTATGATTGCGTAGTCTGTTGGTACCAACTGTTATACATCCAAGCACTACATATCATCTCACAACCCTCAATCTCTACGATCACTTTCCATTTCCTACTTCCAGGACACCGAAAAATAATGGCCACAATCCTATTCAACGAAGGGCACCCCGGACCCAAATACGCCCAAGATGCCCCAACCAAAAAACAGCTTCTGAACAATATCATCGACGGCATGGCTCGAACACGACCCAACGCACTCTGGGCCGTAACACCCATCTCATTCACCAGCTACTCTGAAGGTTTTCGAAAAGTCACATATTCCGCGCTTGCAAATGCCGTGAATGGTATTGCGTGGTGGTTAACCGATCAGCTTGGTTCTGGATTCGGAAAGGATTTTCCAACTGTTTGTTATATGGGTTGGAATGATCTGAGATATGTTACTATGGTCTTAGGTGCAGTGAAAGCTGGCTATAAGGTATGTATTTTTCATGATAGTTGTATGTAAATATGTTGATACGTGAATGATAGATACTTCTCGTCTCGCCGTATAACAGTAATGAGGGAAACATCAGTCTATTTAACGCACTGGACTGTCAAGTTTTAGCAACTACAGATCCTGTTCCACTAGGAGTGCCCGTTTTACTTGACAGCATGCCCAAGTTACGCACCATTACTGTTCCAGATGTTAGCGAGCTTCTAGAGAAAAGTTACAAACATTTTCCCTTCAGCAAAACTTTCAACGAGGCCAAGGATGAACCTCTAGTCTGTCTTCACACATCCGGAACGACTGGTCTACCGAAACCCGTTATCTATCCTCACGACTTTGTATCGACATATATGAGAATGGCGCAATTAGCTTCCCCTGAGGGGTTTGAATCGAGAGAAAAGCAGTACCAAGGCACACGAGTTTTTATGAATCTTCCACCATTTCATGCAAGTATATCAAGTTCATTCAACTATCTGTTTGAGGTTATGTGAATCTCCCGAGATCACCAGAGCACTAATTGCAGGATACGCATCAAGCATAAACGCACTATCCGAATCACTAGCCAATCAGAACATCGTCATATTCCCTCTACCAATGGAACGAGCTACCGCCTCATCGCTGGTCGAGATTATGAAACACACGCCAGTAGACGCACTATGTGCACCTCCATGGATGGTACACGAGATTGCGACCAATCCCGAAATCTTGGAAGAATTGGTGGCCCGGAAACTCGACGTTATATGGTATGGCGGCGGCGACTTACCACAACAATTCGGCGATATCATAACCTCTAAATTCAAATTCTGGAATTCGAATGGCTCTACGGAAACATCCCCATTTCCAAATATCTACAAGTCAGGAGAATGGCCGGCAGATGATTGGAAATATCAATGTACTCATCCTGCTGCAGGTTTGGAATATCGGGTTTTCTCGGACGATGATCAGCTTTATGAAGCAGTCATCGTACGGAATTCCGATCCTGAGTTTGAACAACCAGTGTTCAAACTCTATCCGGATTTGAACGAGTATTCTACCAAGGATTTATTCTCTCCTCATCCCACAAAGGAAGGGTTATGGACATACCGTGGGCGTACCGACGATATGATTTTGGTGGTTGTGGATAATGTGGCAACTCGTCCATTCAATCCACAATATATGGAACATGCAGTGACAAACCATCCTGATGTCAAGGATGGAGTTATGGTTCCCGCTGGAAAGTTTTTCAACGAGAGATTTGCAACCAAAACTGCACTTCTTGTTGATTTGAAAGATAGCATTGATGCGACAGCTCTTGGCTATAAAGAAAAGCTGGTTGAAGAAATTTGGACTATTGTTAATGGTATCAATGAGAAATACAGAGAAGAAGCTTGGGTGCGGAAGGAATGCATCGTTATTGCCAAACCACAGAAACCCCTTCCGAGAAACCCAAAAGGCTCTATTCAACGGACTAGAGCTATGGAATTGTACGCAAAAGAGCTAGAGAGTCTCTAAGTAGCATAGAACCTTGACTGGGGAACAAATTTATGTTCTGACTCGGAATTTTCACGAGGAATTGGGAGTCCGAAAAGTGATGAGGTAAATATGAGTGAAAAGGGCGGATCAAGGAGGAACAACAAATCAGACGAACGGAAAAGGCACTACCTCCCTTACCTTGCTTTCTTCCAAATGCAACTGCATTGAGAATGCTATTTCCTAGGACAGATTTATGTCTTAACTTAAATCTAATAAAAGATCGTGCTCCTGGAAGTTGACTTTTAGCATAAATTTTGACCGAGCCGCTTAATTATGATTCTAAAATAATATACCACCCGTGCCTGAACGCCTGGGTATTGTCCCTTCCTCCATCCTCTGCCCCGGAATTTCAAAAAACAAATAACAATTAACTCATTATTCATCATCACCAAAATCATCAAAAACATCTCCTGTTTCCCCATTACCTCTTTTATCGAACCAACCTCCGAAATCAAGCTTCATCAGCAGTCTGTCTACTCTGCCAACCTTAGCTGGAACGTATGCACCTTCCTCTCCCAAGACCAACTCCTCATAACCACTGTCCCAGCCATTTTTATCTTGATCTATGTCCCGTAGAGTTTTGACTAATCCTTCAATTGCGTCCTTTACACGTGTTGAAATTGTTCCAAGTTGTTCTTCGATGTCTTGTTCCTCTTTGTGAAAGTCAGAGAATGCATCTACCACTCCTTCGTCAGCCTCGAGATCGAGAGATTGCCAGACAGAGTGGATACGGTGGACAAGAGCGACTAGATGATCAATTTGTTGGAGTAGATAATAGAGTGGGTCCGTAAATGTTGAAGTGGTTAAAAGGAGATTGGATGCGAGAGCGGTGAGATATCTCCTATGTGCATCTGCAAGTGTTTGAGGATCATGATTGTGGCTAGTGTTCCTAGATGTTGATTGATTGGCAGCCTGCAACCAGATATCTTCATCTTCATCATGGGATCTTGATGCACGCGTTTCTCCTGTAAGCCAAGCTGTGAAGCCTAACCAAGTTCCTTGCACAACTTCGCCTTGAAGGTATGCTTCCGTCTCGCCTAGGAAGAAGACTGCAGCGCTACTAGTTGCCCATACGCTGCGCATAGCGTGAGAACGCTCCTTAGCTCTAGCTCGAAGTGTAAGAACCTTTTGTCGACCAAACGTCGAACTACCCAAAGGTGGACCTGGAGGTGCAGGATGATCGCGACGTAACGAAGTTATCTTCCAAAGATTGGTGAGCCGTAGATGGGCCCTATGGACTGCTAAAAGATAAGCATTAATGCTGGAATACATTTGGGTATCAGATGGAGTAAGGAACAGATCTAACGGTGAAGGAATGTGAAGTGTAAGGGCTACAGGAACGGAAAGTAAGAGGTTTCGGAACGGGGTGGAAACAATTAGAGAAGATTGCGAAGCTCTCAAGTTGGTTTTCCCTGGCGTATTCGAATTCCCCTTCATAATGTTCAACTGAACAAGGTCTCTTGCAAGTTCAAGCAAATCGTCATCATCCTCTTCGTCATTTTGACCCTTTTGTGCGCCCATCGCAGCCCAGGTCCTAGCAAGGACTGCAGTGACTTCCCCTTCCTTAACGACGATGTTACCTAGGCCATCCTTCTTCTCATAGCCTAAGGTGTCAGACCTTCTCCATCTTGATCGGATCTTTTCATCAGCCTCAGATATCAACGCTATGGCAAATTCTCCTCTGCCAAGTAGAAAAAATTCCCGTAATAAAGTCAAGGCCTCAATTACTTTGCTTAAGGGTAGCAGCTTCTGTAAAGTAGTTTGAGATAGGGAGAGACGTATAGCGGCTATGACTCGTGCGAAGTTGGCGCCATTTATTGGGAATTTGATTGTTGATAACTGTCGCAAGTGAGATGATAATAGATCAAGCTCCGGGGAGGACGAAGATGAGATGCCCTTGACTCGAATATGATTCAAGGATCGTCCAATGAAAAGAAGCGATGATGCGGTAGAGTCTGACACGAACGCCGGTAACAATTCTTTGACGTTCATGTAGTCCTATTATCCGACCAGTCAGCTGTTTATCTCTCGTAGTTGTGAACCATGGAAACATACATGTGAATCGTCTTCTTGTACGAAAAAGTCACCACGTCCGAAACTTGGTAACCGCCCATATAGAATCCAGGCCGAAACCTGCTTCAGCCAAGCTGTCTGCGCAACCTTCACCAGACTTAATGCTGCCTCCTCTATGTCTGCATATCCCGTTTGTATAGCACTGCACAACCTATCAATGACCATTGCCCCACTGCACTTCTTTCCACCCACATCTTGCATCATAAAGTCCACAATCTCCAAAAACCATTCCATTCGCCTCGTCCAGCCAGAGAACTTCTCCACGATAAATGTCAACGGCACAATATTGTATGCACCAACACTCCCAGCATCTTTGCGCAAAATACCATTCTCGACCTCAAGCACTTTGCGTTGAAAGCTTGCAAGATGTACGGAGCTTATAGATGTAGCGACAGCTTGGCAGATACTCGAGGAGTGCTTGGAAGATATAGTATTTGTGTGCGCCAGGAGCTTGCAATGAAGATCACTCAAATGGGCGACAGAGGAGAGGAGGGACTTTTCGGAGGGGGACAGGATGGAGGATGAGGATGTGTTATCGGCAGTGAGGAGCGGAGAAGGATGTCCCGAGAGGGAGAGGAGTATTTCGTGGAGCATCTTGGCTGAGGATTAGATCTTTTTTACAATCAGCAAACTCGGAAATCCCAGTGGAGTGTAGTGGTTCCTCGTACTGGCTTTTCTTTTTACCCGCGAACCAATCTACCAAGTCGTAATATAACAATAGAATCGTACCCAATAACTCAAAACGGCACATTTGATTCACAGCATATCCATTCTTCAGGGCGCATCAGCCAAACATGACTTGTGTGTAGCAACTAAGCTGTGGTTCATTGAGGTCATAAATTTCCCTAAGATCGCGTTGCAGGCGCGTTGCGGGGGGCGCGGAAGCTTGGAGCACCACATGCCAGTTCCAACCCACCACCGAGCCACCTCACCCACTTCAATCATAATTTTATTCACGACTGCGTTTTCATATTTACGTGAAACTCATCGAATCACATGAGACGACTTGCTAGAATTGATACCAGTTATCCGCCTCAACTAGAGATTCTGCTTATCACACCGATCCTCCGATTCTGCAAGTGCGGCGTACAGCTGTTCTCGTCACCAATCAGATGAGTTTCTTGAATACTTGTCAAAACCAAATAGGGGTTTGTTAGGATCGTATAGAGGTAGCAGACACTCAGGTATCTGGGAAAGAATAATGCTCCTAAATACTAGCATCCACTATTTAGTATACACTGTTGTCTTTCCATGCATTGGTCTATTCGGAGGAGACTATGCAGACAATGTGAGAATGCACAAAATCCTTCTCTCCCACCGCCTCTTCTCCTGTCCCCACACTGTCACAACACTGAGCAATCCGGAGAAGGAATTAGAGATACGCTTTCAAGAGAGGATATTCGAGACATGGAACAAAGCTGGGTTCTGAAAGGTGGCTACCGCTACGCGGCGGAGTAGACGTGTATAAGGTGCAGCAGAAGCGAAATCTTTTAGTTTTTACACTTTCATTGACACGATTCCATCCCATTTAAAGTTCCCATTGACTGTTGTTACTCCTGATTCTCTCATACAATCTAAGATCAAGATATTTGAAAACATCTTACTTTGCATATATCAAACTCTACAACCAGCTATGGCTACTTTTCGAGACATCGCTGCTTGGGCCCAAACTCTCGCAGAAATTGCCGCTGCCCCTACTGAAGCCACGAGGAATAGTCCTCCGCTCGCGCAAGCACTTTCTTCTCTTCAAAAGATTGGATTTCAAGATATTGGCGGTGCCGTGGAGGCTTTCAAGAAACACGGTACCGCACTCAAAGATTCGATGGAAGCGACCTATGCACAGATGCCTCCAGAAATTCGGAATAAAGTGGAGAAGGTACATGGTCGCCTCGTGGATTCAATTTCCTCCCCAGAAGATATGGAATTCCAAGAACGCGCTGCCGACTGGACTACTGGTGTTGTTGACGCCTTCAGGAAACACGGTATTTCACTCAGAAGAACTGCACAAGCAGCCTATACAGACTTGCCCCCTGAATTTCGTGATGAGGTTGAGAAGGCGCATGCAAGAGTCTATCAAGTAGAATGGAACAAACTAGCGGTGGACATCCAAATTTGGATTAAGGCACATCCATACCAAACAGCCTTTTATGTTGTGAATGGAATCGTATTCTTTGCTCCAGCTGCATCTAGTGGTCCGATTCTATGGGTTTTAGGATTTTCGGGCAAAGGTCCAAGGGCTGGTAAGTGGTCAGTCCCCAAATAGTTATGGCGCTAACTTTCTGAATAGCTTCATTTGCATCGATTTTACAGAGAAAATATGGTACGGTCAGTGCGAAGGACGTATATGACCATGCTCAAAGTGCTGTCATGGGAGGTTATGGAGCTACTGCTGTAAGCATAGTAACAAAACTTTTTGTTGCTGCAAGTAGTCTTTTTGGTGAGATGTGGGGATCGCGGAATGCAGGTAGGAAATTTACTGCGAAGCTGTGAGATTTTTGCTGTCGTTAAGTCTTGATCAAGAGTCGATAAATTTCTAGTTGAAGCCGATAGCATCGTTAATACCAAATTTTCAATATCACGTTATTATTCAGACATTGCAGATTTCATCGGCCAATCTCCCGCTCTCCCAACTCCTTCTCTCTCCCTTGAAATAAATCCCAAGACGTTATTTACCTTAACCACCATAACGACAGAGAAATTCAGATTCATCACAACTTTCAAAATCGAGAAACTTAAAAATAGTCTCAGTCCCTGCTGGAGATAAGATAAGGTTTATGGCGGTTATTCTGCTGAGTCTCAGGTCATCAACCAATGAGGGCTTATTGGCTGCTTACGATTTTGGAGAAGGACAAGACTACCTAGTTATTATATCTTATCACAAATAGGGACACGAAATGCACACACTCTTCAACGTTTGATATCATATAATCATCAGGGTTAGGGTTAGGATTATAAGTTGATTAAACATTTTCAGGATATTCAATCTGTAATATATCCTATGTCAATCCACACTCAAACACTTTATATAACCTTACTTTGTCGAAATTTGAAGAACTTCCAGTGTGTAGCCCTATTTAAATGATTGGTGGGCGACTATTCTCATGCACATGGGGATCGTCTAGTCGGGGACATGCATAAGGCTAGGAACAGGACGAAGTACCCTTACTTTTGCTTGTTTTTGACGCCATGAAACATTCGCTTTCACATCCGATTCTTTGTTTGTCCAGTATCTTTTATTCAAGCAAACACATCTCCTCAAGTTTTCATGAACCATCTTTCTCTGGCTTGAACCTTTACACTCACTCCGATCATGGTACTGCTCTCCAAATTCATGAGCTGGCTTCTCTTAGCAAGCACAGCTACCTCAACCCAAATTAGCAGTGATAAATGCCATACCGATCAAGATCTCTCATCTTGCGACCCTGTCGAGCTCCAAGCTCTACGCTCAGAATGGACAACTGGTGTCGACAAAGCTTTCAAGGAGCATGGCGTTATAATCCAAGAGCCCACAGACGCAGAACTTGCATTGATTCCGGAATCCTTCCGAGACAAGGCGAGAGAAGAGCATGCTAAATGGTACAAAATTCAGTGGGAGCATCTGCCAAACAAGCTTAAGAGATGGATTTTGGAACATCCCTGGCAAACAGCCTTCCACATTGTAAATGGAGTAGTTTTCTTTACACCAGCTGGAGCAAGTGGATTAGTCCTATGGGCTCTAGGTTTTACTTCAATAGGACCAAAAGCTGGTAAGTGAGCAAAACGATACATCGAAGTACTCGAATCTAATTTTCGATAGCATCGTTTGCATCGTTTCTGCAAAGTACAATCGGTTTGGTGTCGACAAATAGTTGGTTCGCGATGTTTCAAAGCGCATCCATGGGTGGTTGGGGAGCACCTATTGTGCACACGGCTACACAGTTCGGAGCTTGTGCGAATAGCTTCGTGGCTGCAGTTTGGGGTTGGAGTCGTGGAAATAGTACAGCGTAGGATGAAGATCTGTGGGAAGGTAGCACTGTGGAGCATGATGGAGGAATCTTTGAAAAAGTCTACGAAAAAGGGTTCCGCGATGGTTTAGGAGGATTAACCCCTTAATACTTGATGTTAAATCTTTCGCTTTCATTTTTCAGGCATGCAGTTGTCTACATCCAAATATGGTAGTTGCTGAATCACGAATAACATTTCACTTCTTGACCAGCTCAGTAAAAAGCAATTAGAGTAAACCCTGCTCATTCCGAGTAGTTTCGAATAAGCAAATGAAGGTCACTAGCCGCTCAATTTCAAGCCATTAATTTGCTTCTATGGAATGCTCTTTCAGATTTCTATTGAGTTCTTCCACTTTCACTTCCAATATAAAACAGATCTCATTTTCAACTACGCTCGAATCTTTCAAAATTCCTTCAGACCACCTCGACTTTGACAGACTCTACCAAAATGCCTCGATCACTCAAACTAATAGCATTGCTCCTAGTGACCGTCACAACTATCTTTCTCTACCAAGCCATCAAAAAATACAACCAACCCCCTCCAACTCTCTCCGAGAACATCATGTCATACATCCAGGCACACCCATTCAAATCCGCATTCCACGTCATCAACATAGTCACTTTCTTCACCCCCGCTGCAGCGTGTGGCCCATTCCTCTATCTATTAGGTTTTACTCGTCTAGGACCGAGAGCTGGTAAGTAAACCCGAAGAAATCAAAATCATAATCTATAGCTGATTTTCTCACAGTATCCATTGCGTCAATCTCTCACAGTATCTTCGGTAACGTCGCTGCCAGAAGTTTGTTTGCATATTTCCAGAGTGCAGCTATGAATGGATATGGCCTTGGTGCTTTGAATACGGTGGTACGATCTGTTTCGGGTATTGGCAGCTTTGTTGGATTTTTCTGGGGAGGTAAAGCAGTCCGGATGAATGATACTTGGGATTATTTACAAGATTTTGTTGGGGATTTATCTGTATGTGTGGTTTTGGCTTTACTTCTCTATGTTCTGGTCAGAATTGGAGTTATGGGCTACAGATTACTTGACGGTGTGATACGTCCTGTTGATATTCAATCTGAACAGGTGTTAGGAGAAGCAGGGGAGTAGCAGCGATTATTCTTTCTCATCAAGCTAGTATAACAAACACAGCACAACTGTAACGCAATCGAGGAAAAAGGGGGTTATTTACTTCTCGGAGAATAAGCAACCCTCAAAATCAAGTCACACAAAAGACCATACCATATGCATGGACCCGTCGTTCTCCGTGCCTACGTTACAACGTGGCTTAACTCATTCTGAAAGCAGTATTTCCAAAAGTCCGGACTGCTGTCCGAATTACGATTTTTAGCTTCGAGGTCTAGAGGATCCTATACATTTCCTTCATATCACTTTAGTAATTTGAGAATTCCAATCGCTGGGAGTGTTTGATATCTAAAATGGAACTAAGATCCCAAAATTTTGACTGTTAGGCTTCAATATGGAAAATTGGATGTCCTGTGTTTTTGAAAGAAGCAGTGTGGAAAATTTAAGTTCTTTCAAGACGTGGTATTTCTGAATTTTGGCATTCCTATGAATGGATGAGATGTGTGAGGGAGTTTTTGTGAGGTCTGCGATTGAGGTATGTATGGAGTAAAGCATCTACAAGAGAACACTTCGATCCCATGAGATTGAGACCCTTGGCCATCTAGGTTAAGAAAGCTTAGAAGGAGCTTGATGCTCGAGAAATTCCAGTGTTCTGTAGGACGTTATACTTCTATAGATGTCCGGGTATATGCAGCAATTACAAAAGTGTTCTATTCCAAAAAGATAAAAAAATTGTACTTTAGATTATGATTACAAACTGATACGTATTTCCAATCCCTTCTCTCTCCGTTACCAGTCCCTTTCGCTCACAAAAAATTCCCAAGACTCCGTGTCCGTAGTATATACAAAAAAAAACAGTGAACCATTCCAAATAATTACCAGCCGATCATACATCTCTGCGCACTCCAATATATACAAGAAACAAACTCGCTCAAGAAAATCATCATAATTCATATCCATCTTTCGGAAAACCTTCTCTCAAACCACCACTCAATACGTAGCATAACTCATCAACGCAGGCTCATTAGTAACTCTCTTCTCATACGCAAAAATATTAAGCGCGACCAGCGGAATCAACGCTTCAGTCTCAATAACATCAGCCAAGCTAATCCCCGGCGCAACGAGATTCCCACACTGATCGCTAACCCGATCAAACGATCCCGGCCCATCGTTTTGCAACGCATCTGTTACCAATGCATAAGCGACGGGATTAAATAACACGCCTGCATGGGTATACAGAGTTCCGGCCGGAAGTCCCAAGCATGCTCCTTGAAGAAAGGTATTTGAAGCGCCGACGCCACGAGCATCTTGCAGGAAGCCCGAGGCAGCGGTTCCGCTTTGTGGTTGGACGATTTCGTCTGTGACAGAGTAGACGGTAGTGGTGGGAACATAAGCTGAATCGCCGTTGTTGGAGCGGAGTCTATTGACAAAATTGGATTGATATTGTTGTTGGAGGACGGAAGGAGTACACGCAATGTCGTTTCCGCTTTCGAATCCGGGACAGAGAATGTAAGCCAAGATTGTACCATGGTAATCAGGTGAGATGGCGATGTGGTCTGTGACAGTTTTTGGGATTGATGGCCAATATTCTGGGAGTATTTGTTAGCTGAATATCTGGGAGAGTATATTGGGGAATACTGACTAAAGGCCCATTGGGCATTGAGAGATCCTTGAGACCATGTGACGATAGCAACTTTTCGCGAAGTCATGGCATAGAAGTATTGAAGCGCATAAGCTACATATTCTGCATTGGTCTGTGCATCGTCAAGCAAAGCAAATGGTATGTTTAAATAGACTGGGTCGGCATAGCTGGTTGTAGCAAGAAGTTTGCCTATGTTAGAAGCATACGTGCCATAACCAAATGCGCCCGTGCCAGGTGACATGATAACGGGTTGCTTCTTGCCCCAGGTAAATCCAGGAGGAATGTAAATTGCAGCCCTGAGAGTTTTTTCGTCGACAGAAAATCGTGCATTGCCATATACGTTATTGTAGAATCTCTTGTTGGGAGGCACTGAATTATTCACGTTATTGACAGAGTTGGTAGATGGGCTCTGAAGAAAATCAGTATTGTAACATATACCAAAAACATCCAAGACTTACAGCACCAGATATGACAGCTTGTAGATCACTGGAAGTAAAACCATCAAGAACAAGTTCCAAAGCATTTGAGAGAATATTTGCTGGTGGAGTTGGGGAAGCAGAAGGATCAGATACACCCCAAGCACCAGCTGCCCAACTTAATGCTTGAGAAACACTACTTGGTTTGGCTGTAGGTTGAGCGGCCGAAAACAATTTCCTAGCAATCACTGGTACATCAGTACCCAAAATCGTTCCATTTGCAATTGCCCCTGTGTTATGTCAATAAAATTATCTTTGCGTGATGAAATATGATTTACACACCTACGACCAAATTCGCAGCGGTCAATACGTCCCCACTGTCAGATAACACTGCGGGAATGGCCGAGGACAAACTACCAATATCAAGGACTGCATTCCCGGCGCTTGACACAAGACCTGTTACGGGATCTCCTATAAGCTGTGGTTGTGGGAAAGGTGCTGGAACCGGGGCTGGCACTGCCAGAACTAAAGGTGCAGTTATAACTGCCAGGAATGCATGTAGATACATTTTTTGTCTGAGAAATCGTTGCGATTTTGTCAAGTGTCTGAGCGGAGAATTAAATTATTAAACGTGACAGTGAAAACGTGCATAAAGGATATGAATTGAGATTCTGAGAAGGAATGAGGAATAGGGCATTATAACACATCTGCTGGATGTATTGTGCAGTCAAATCTCTGATTTCACTGTCATGAGGCGCTCCATGATTTCCGGTTCATTATGAATTTCCGCTTCAGCGACAATACACTTGATCGTCATGAGTAACAAGTGTATTGGGGTTCATTCCACGGCACAATGGAGGCGAACGATCGATGAATTAATTGCACCCAACCCCGTATTTAATAAGGATCAGCGAGTGGACGTTGTCCCAATTCGATGGGGCTGAACTGAAAATGGTTAGACGTGCGGAACAAAGGGTGAGCTAACCCGGCTGGCGTTGTCTGGCTACATCGTATTTGGCTAAGGGGTCCGGAGAGAATATTAGCGAGCAAAGAGCCATGATGTATATGGCGGCCACGGATAGTGTTTAATCTAAATGTTCAATACTCAACATCGAGAGGAAATGAACGGAGGGTTTTCAAAAGGGTTCTTTCCGTAGATTTGGGTAGTTGAGTGGGGTATGAAGAAACTATCTCTCATACTCGTATATCAACTTGGTGACTCTAAAATCAACATGTCTCCGACATCAAAAGTGGAGAGGCGGAAGGTAAATGAAATAAGGGACCACCAGACCTCTTGGCACCACGGTACTGTAGATCCGACCTGATGGAACTAACAAAGCCTCATCGTCATTTAGAAATGGTGGTTGTCTTATCGAAATCGTAAAGTGTTAGGCAATCTGTCAACGACTATCGTATAACAATTTTTGTCTTCCTCTGGATATATATACTTCGTATGTCATCATTCGCGGATCGACAAGTAACACTCAACAAGCTTCGAATTTTGCTGCTGTTCAACTGGCACCAAAGAGCCATTAGTTTCAACTCGTCAGTGGTGACCGGTCTGGCTTCTTTTCGCTGATAGCATCGACCTCATCGTAAAGTCCTGGAGGGGTTCGACGACCTCGGCATCAATGGATACCAGTTATGACTAGGTAGTGATATAGGACGGATCTTCCTTAGATACTCAAATTCAAATACATGAGCCTTTTCTTGCTGGAGCTTTCCAACATGAACGTGAGGAATAAAGGAGCCAAAGCACTCCTCCGCATGTATGGCCTGACAATCTCATTTAGAGGAACATATCTTCATTCTTCATTCGATCTCACATTGAAAAGAACTAGGAGGATCTGGAAGCGATACTTCTTCACAAGGGCAGCCACATTAAAAAACAGATCTCATTGGTTTCTAAGAATTGCAAGGGTGGTGTCATTCACATGAGTTGATGATAGTGTATAAGTGTAAAAGTTATAAATTGCATTCCGCTTGTCTAACTAAATATTACAAACTTACAGTGGTGCTTGGCGCTCAGTATGATTTCTATTTCCAGGCGGCTTGCCAACCACTGGTTGGTAGTATACTGGCCTGGATAATTCCGCAAGCTGCAGCGCAATTACAGCCCCTCAACAGACTGACAATAGTCCTGAAGCTCAACGGGGCCTTGCCTTCATAATGTTCAATCGTTAATCAACGCTCGGTAGGGCTGCAGAGCAGTGTTGGATCGCGCAAAGTTGTGCAAAGCAGCAGTCGTCCAATTTATTATCCATGCCGATATGGGGGATGATGATTATCTAAGACCTCCAATCAATGAAGATATCTGTATGCATTGTCAGCAAATGATCATGATTATGTTATGTTGTATGACAAGATAGTAGAATTGAAAGCATTCAGGAAAAAATTAGAGTTGTTGTTTTTTGGTCTTCAGGGTGCGATGCACTCGGGGTTAAAAAGCTATGATTTGTTCATCACAAAGCTTGTGGATGGTACTCAATGTAAAAAGAAAAGATGATTGTGACTAACCTTTCATGAGTTGTGGTGTGCAGCGAACATGTGTTGAAAGTTGAAGTAGTAAGAATTGATGGAAACATGGGCGCGAAATGGTGAAGAAGGTTATCAGCCCGACCTCACCACTTGCAGTACCTCTGTCATACCATTTCTATGCGCATTAGAAAGCTGATATAACTTGCATTGTGTTCATTGAATGGGTGGTGATTCTGATTGTAATTAGAGAAGAAGAAAAATGAAAAGCAGAAGAGAACTTTTAAATTTACTCACCTAGCTTAATAGACTAGCGGGCGAGGGGCCGCTTCAAGCTTCCATGACATAATCAGCTCCACCATCTACACATGACCAAGTTTCCAGTATCATTTTGGCTGCTGCAGCTCCAGCAATGCAGCTTTTGAGGAATCGAAGGCTTGACAGAGTACGATACAGTGACGTTGAGACCTGACGTATAGTCCAATTTATACAGACACAAAAAGCTGTAACGATGTTGCTAGGGCAAAATCTAGCAAGGATTCTAATCAAAACTCATCACATGACATCCGTCAAAAAGATTGAAAAGATAACCAAATCAGCGAAGAGATTGGACTGTGCAGTATTGTTAAAAACTGGAAAGCCGCCTGGAGTTATGCTTGCGGAAGGAGAAATTGGGAATGCTGAACAATGGTTAGACGTCGTGAAGGTGGGTTAATCCTCGTGCAATTTCTTGGGATAGGAATCAAATTGTCTGGTCAGGGAATGGATCATAATTGAGATGCGGATGAACAGCTGATGATGTATTGAAAATGCAGAATCTGAGGTACAAGAACTTCGAATTGATGAAAAAAGAAGAGGTGGATGGGAGGAGGTTAGATGTACCTGCTGGAAAGGTTAAGCAATTGGAGAGTCTAAAGGATTACGGGATGGAGGTTGGAAAGGACGAGGAGTTGAGGAAGTGGTGGAGGTTACACATGGGCTTTATGAAAGGAGAAGATGAAGATTGATGGGTTTAACGAGGTATAAGGGGGTGGTATGATTCTGTGACATTCACTCGACCCGGAAACTATAGCCAAGCGAAAATGGTGTGGTCTCAGGAATGACTCAAAGCTACTCTCTGACTCGGCACCTTTTAACTACCTTCTGTCAACTCCCCTCAAGAGAGTGTCTAGCAACCTCAAAAGAAGTTTCACAATGGATCCCAGCAACTCTGCTCCTACGACGGCATGGCCTAGGTTGAATGACACCTCATCAGACTCACCACCCAACCCAGAACAACCACTCACCGCGGTATCATTGCCAACACGCAACTCTATCTGGGTCGATGAAGATGTCTCGACCGCTTATCCTCAGACTGCACGCCCTAGAGAAGATCTTCTTGCATCCTTCTTTCCATCAGACTCACCTCAGGTAGCAGCCATACAATCTCAGATTGAATCTGATCCATTGGCGTACCCTCTCGCATCTGGCTCGAACCAAGCACTTCCGGTACCAGAATCCACAACTCCTAATGATAGGAGAGTATCCTCCAAGTATTCTGAATATGATGTTGACATTCCTGTACCTCTTTCTGCGCGCTTTCAGCGTGACTTGCGAGAAATGATTGGTTCTCCATCTTCGATATATCCTGATAGCGCTCTACCCGAACCCCTTCATGTCTCTCGAGATTTTACCCCTAAAGCTTTGACATATCAAGGAGATAGGCATCCTGAACGTTCCCGCTCAACTAAGTCGATTCGCCTTTCAGAACTCATTCAATCTCCCGTGGGCGAGGGAACATCGGAACTTTTCCCGGAATACACGGAAGATATACGCCCAGGTAAATCCGCACATGATATTGTTCCGGAAATAAATCCCCTGCCCCAAAGTCCCCAGCAACCAGATGTTCAAAATCCTCATTCTCAAAAGCACCAACCGCAACTATTGGCACCTCCCGGATCGTCTCGACCAAAACCTCAAAGACGAAACACAAGATCATCATCCATAATCAGTGGTCTTGACCAAGGAATTTTCAGACCTTCGTCTAAATCCTCCCAGAATCGAGATCTCTTCTACGCAACCCAGAAAGACGACAGTAGATTCAGTCGACACCATCCCTCAAGCAAGGAATACATTCATCGACGAAGAGCCAACTCCCTAGACCGCACCTCCGTACCCACCGATCCCGAAGTCGCGAAACTCTGGGACGAACGAATCAACGCCGGTCAACAACCATTCACACCCAGCGATACGATACCCACATACCAAGAATTCCGACGAACAACTCAACGTGTAGATTCGCCTAGCTCAGACCGATTCCCCCTCCCTGCTTCAGCACTCTCTCAATACGAAGTCATTCCACCTCATCTCAGACCTGCACGCGAATCAGATTTCAGATTCGATCCGAAACTGGTGCAGGAAATATACGAAGAGAGATGGAAAATTACCGAGGGCTATGAGGATTTGCAGGCATATTTTAGTGATCCCAAAGAAGGTCCTTACAAGCACCTTAATATCAAGGAATGGGTTGAGCTTTTTGAATACTTGGAAGAGAGAGATCGGAAAGCGACAGAACGAGAGATCATTTTTGAGTTGAGGGCCAGTTAGAAAGATGTTGGGTATTAGTGACGATGGTTGTGATATCGTTGCTTGCCAAGTTGAGCGGGTATCTCAAGGCGTTTGATATGAGCTGCCATGATCAGAATTTAGGGAGTCTATTTTTGCTCACCCTATGATAATCGATGAATTATTTTGTTTCATGTTGTATTTTGCGAGTGTTTTCATGCGATTGATATTTTTTGGTTAGTCTGATTTTTCCTTCAAGTCGTCTCTAAATGCACCGGTTGTCACATGCTGATGATCTCCCTTTTCATATATGATTGCCAGTTTCTTTATCAGATTATAGGCATCAAACCCTCCATAAATTTTGTCAGTGGGTTTGCCATAGTATGAGCAAACTTTTTCCCATCTCAATTTCATCACATGAAACTTTCTTGGACGAGAAGGAATTTTCTTTCCAAATGTTTGATAGTTAGAGAACGTCATGCTTTTATCTTTCCATGACCTGTAAAGTCTGGTGAGCCAAGTGGAAGTCATTTCATAAAAGCATCAGGCATTCCTATCTCAGATTCATTCCAAATCCCTCTTTGAAACGCAAGCTTCGCGCAATATCATCAATATCAAATCGACTCTTCCACACCATCTATTTAAACTTTGAGCCATGAACGCCGTCCGCAACCTCTTTCCCCATCCTCACACTTTCTTCCCCAGTCATTATCGACAGAGCAGTAATGCTAGTAAACCGTACCATTATGCCCCAGGATGGTATTATCATCCAGAATCTGCTTCCTCGCCTATCAAACTCTCGTCCGAGGATGTCAATAACTCTCCACGACGACGACACCGACAGCAGAGAAATGATTATGAATATAGCCCTAGCTTACCAGTCAACAAAGGGGAGAATGCAAAAAGTAGAAGGAGAAATGAAGCGGATTTTCCAAGACATGGAAGAGCTGAAGACTTTTCCAAAAGACAAGGTGAAGGAAATGGGGTCTTCGCCGCTACGAAAAATGGTAGGAAGGGTATCGAGAACATGGAAAGGGAGAGAGAGGTGGAAATAGAAATGGAGATTCAGAGGAGAGTCGATGGGATAATAGAAGTGCAAGACGCGATATCTCGAGAACAGGATAGGATTGAGGATGAGTGGATGTTTCTTGAGAGAGCCTGGGAGGTATTGGGAGAGTGTAGGGGGATAAATTTGGAGAGGGAGAGAGATTTCAGAGAATGGATTTTGGCGGAAAGAAGTTTGAATGGCGGAAGTGGTCGAGTTGGAAGTGATCGGCGGTACAGACAGTGGAATGAAGGGAGACGGGAGGATACGGATGCTAGCAATCCAGATATGAGGGGGTGGTATTAGATACGGATGGGAGAAGAAAGAGGAAAGATTTCTGTAATCTGCCGCAAGTGAATCTAAATTCTTTGTCGGATCTTCCATTCGAGATCAAGGTCAAGATTGAATTGATGGTTTCCGATGAGGCACTTCACCATGCGGTCAGAACCAAAGGGATCAACTGCTTTGAGTATACAGCTATCAAGCCCTAAAATCTCATACGTCCGTACATTGAAGATATCGAAACCTCTTCATCTCGACAGCTGCAGCATCTGCAACCTCAAAACTTGAAGTACTAGGTAGTTGCCTACCTATATACCACATCTTCCACAACACGAATCCAAACACAAACGCGAAAGAACTTCCAAATCCCTACCTCCCGGGGCTACCAAGTAACCCAACCATCTCCCAGAACGATTGATCACCTACCCCTCCATCCCCCTCCATCCCGCCATTAAAAAAAAGCAAATCCCAAAAGAAAAGAATCATGACGATCGCCAAACTCGTAACCTACAACCTCCTCTTATCTCCCTCCCCAGGTCTACCGAAGAAAAAGAAACCTCAATGGTCGAACTTTCTTTTTCTACAAGTAGGTAGGTAGGTAGCCTTGTATCATATCATCTAGTTTTTACCAGCCAATTGATATTCATATACATGCTTCAACTCAAACTTCACATTGCTTTACTCATACATGTAATTTATTAGTACGCATTACATCACTTCACGCACTTTACGCACTTCACGCATTATTTCTAGATATCAATTTCTTTCTCTTTCTTCACTTCTTTATCTCAACTCATCTCATCTCATCTCATCTCACTTCTCTTCAAACTTCAAACTTCACTCCAACCCCTCCTCATTTTCCACTCCAAACCCATCATCAAATTTCAATCTTCACTCTCACCTTCATCTTCATCATATCACATCACATCACATCACGCCCCAAACTCCAAATCCAACCTTCACTCCTACTAAGGTTCCCCGCACCAACTTCCCAAAAAGAAAAGAAAAAAGAAAAAGAAAAAGAAATTCACTTCACTTCACCTTTAAAGTCCACCTTGGCTGGAGTCACGCAACCCCACCAGATCCGTACGCCACAAATCACAATTCACTCAACCTCTCCGGCTTCTTCTTCTTATCATCTCGCTAGTACGAGTCCTTCATCCACTCTAGTGTTTCCCCTCAGTAGCGCGTGTGCGAGTACGGTATTATTCTTCACTCGTTTCTCGTTTCCATCATAAAAGCATCTGCTGGGGAATTGTTTTTCTTCTTCTTCATTACAACCTTTCCTACGATTGCAAAAAATACCAGGAACGGATCCAGATTGGCAAGTCACGACAAAGTCCAAACTTTTCCCATTTCAACAATTTGTCAAACTTCAATAATTATCTTTGCTCGGTGATAAGAATTGTCACACTTTGGATTCTATTATCTTATCATATCAACTTAGCTTATTTTACCTACCTATCAATACTTTGACAGTAACAAAAAAGAAAACACAAAACAATATCAAAATGGCTGCCCACAGAAGACAAAGATCTCATCTTCCTTCTCCACCAGTCTCCCCGTCCCAGCAAACACCCCGGCCACTTCCTCTTCCTCTTCCAACAGAGATGACAAGATACAAAAATTGGCAAACAGCTCGCTCAAGTTCCATGAATACCAAGAGTGTGCCAGTCGCACCTCTAGCACGACGATCAGCGACAGCTCCTGTGATCGGTACAACCTCCGATGAATTCATAGATTATGACAGGAGTTCATCACCCGACCCAGAACCTTTCCCAAAGCGAGTAGTGCAAGCCGAAGTACCAACTCGGTACACTACCTCGTACTACCATATCCTTGGACTACCAGAGAGTCCTGATGTTACCACCGAGGAAATTGAAGAGGCCTTTCAAAAGCTCAGTAAGACTTTCCCTCCTCTTCATTCAATTTTAGGATTTTCTTCCAAGCAATTCTGATCCACTCCACCCGAGATCCAAGAAATCCAAACTAACAACCTTCACAGTATCAAATCCATCTTCCCATCCATCACACCACTATGATAATCTGGAGCGGATTCGTAAAACGCTCACTAGCTCCACTAGACGACGCACTTACGATCATGGTCGTCGTGCTCACTTACTACACCTATCTCAACTGCAAGATCGGGAGCGTTTTGAGCAAAATCACAACGACTCTGACAACCTTTCAGAAGATCGGCTGCGGTTTGAGAAAATTCGCAACGACAGTGACAATCTTTCAAAGGATCGAAAGACTACTGCTCGAGAGGTTAAAGCCTTCACCGACAATATGAGAATGAAAAGTCTAGAGAGCGAATTGAAGATGGTGAAGAAAGAGGTGGCGGCAACTTTTAAAAGAAAAGTTAAAGACATGGGGCTGAGTATGAGTTTGGATGGATTGGACGAGGAAGAGGGAGTACCTTGGGAGGAAATGGATTTTGGTACCAGGAGTTCCCAAATTGTGGGAGAAAGAATGGGTCTTGAATTTGAATTCAATGGGTCTGGTAGTGAGGTGGATTCCGGAGGTGAAGATGGATCTGAAGGCACCTTTTCAGACGGAGAGGAAGAACAAAAGGAGCCTAGAAGATCGGAAGAGTCTGAGCAAATCAAAAAGCTTGAGGAATTTGAAGAATTGTCTGTATCTGCGATGTCAGGACTATTTTCAAAGATATCTTCTTCTGAACTTGAAGAGACTCCGATTGCTCCAGAGACGATTCCAAAAGATGATCAAAAGAAATTGGATGTCAAGGAAGAAAGACTGTCTGCGTCTGAAGAAACAGTACCAATCCGACTGGCAGATTTCTCTAATACCGCAACGGCATCGCTCCTTACAGAAATAACCTCGAAGAGCGAACAAGAAAACCCCGATACCAAGGACGCAGATGAGAAGATTCCAGATTTCCCAAACATGACTCCAGAGATAATCTCCAAATCCGAACTCAACAGGGAACTTGTGGAAACCAAAATTGCAAAACAAGAAATTCCAGGAACTCTCAAACCCACCACAAACACCACCCCAACAACCTCCCCACCGCCCATCGACACCGATCTCCTCGATCTCCCCACCATCGTCGAACTCCTCTACCCAACACCTCTTCTCACCCCAGAAGCAAAGCCGAAAAAGAAAAAGGAAAAGAATTCCTGCAAAGAAATCTGGGAATTCGACTACAACTCTGATTCTGAGTACGCTTCCGATTCCGAGTCCAACACTGAGCCTCCACTAGAAGAACTGAGAATCCTTCCCGCCTCATCCTCTCCATCTCCATCCCCATCTCCAAGCCAAATCCACGAACTCCCCGGCTCCGAAATCTGGGAACTCGATTACCCAAACCACAACCCTACCCCCACCCAAGAACAAGAAAAGGAGGAAGAGCACGAAACCATCATCCTCTTCCTCCAATTCGTCATTGTGTTTTCCCTCGCAACTGCGGCGTGGGGTTGGTTTGGCGGGGGGTGGGTTTTGAATTTAGTTGTTGTTTGAGGTTTTCTTCGAGAAAGGGAATACAATGGCATGGATTAAACAAAATCGAATAAAATCGACTAAATGAGAACTTGAGCTTTAAATTTAAAATCAAGATGGAAATCGAAAGAGAGAACGACAAGAACCCATAACCCAAAATCCAAAACCGGGTATTGAGCCAGGAAGAAGAAAGATAGGAAAGAACAACCTCCAAATAACAATACGAATCAAGAAGGAACAAACAAATGAAAGAAGACACAACCAACCAACCAATCAACCAGCCAACCAACCCACCAACCAAACAACCTCAATCACATCACATCAATAAATCGCACGAACCCAGACGGGAGAAGATGGGAAATATACCAAACAGAGCAGACCAAAAATACCAAACAGAGCAGACCAAACAGAGCAGGAAGGAAGGAACGAAGGAAAGGACAAACAAACAAACACACAAACAGACACACAGATAGATACTACAGACAGACAGACAGACAGATAACTACAGAATTGTATAATTTGCGTATTGGCATATCATATTGGCATATCGTAATGGCATATCGTAATGCATAGGTATCAAGCAGAAACTTGCTACTTACTACCTACTTAGGTACTTATTACTTATTACTTACTCATTCTCTCGGGTTTGCAGACAGGTTAGCTGGGCTGGACTTGGCTACTAGGTGGTGGGTGGTACATACATTGATAGATGGAAAGATACCTAGGTACCTAGATAAATTGGTTACCTAGATAAATTGGCTACCTAGATGTGAATACACCAGATATGAAGGGGTATGTGAATAATCACGACAAAGAAAAAAACCAATTCAAAATCAATATCAATATCAACATCAATATCAACATTCATAATGAACCCAGAAATTCACAATAAAAATATACAAAGATTAAACCACTATACCTCGTCATTGAACCTTATTCTTTTTGATTTTGTAATATATAATGCTCGTGAGTTCTAATCAACCAAGCCAATACAGGGTATCTCTACTTCAACTATTACCCACACATTCACCTCATCCTACACCGTTCCCCGTGCCATATCTTCATAGAAATCTATCATATAAATATCATTCCCATGTAACCATCTACTAGCATGTTTTCACACACCTCCTCCATATACTCTAGAACTAACCACCTAAGCCTTTTCCCCCTCACCATCAGGTGTATTCGTTCCCTTGGAATGCGACATGCTATATGGTGCCTGCGAAGGTGTTGGTCAATGCCTATTCTCTCTAAATTTGATACTTTCTCCAATCTTATCCGTCGAATTGCTTCGAGTCGTTCCGTCTAAACCCCAGGATATCATAGTAAAGGAAATAAAGATGGAAATAAAAATGTATGAAAATCCCAAAACTAATGGCTCGATTCAAAAGCCGACGTGTCGAGGAAAATGAAGATAATGAAAAGTCGAAAAGAAAGTTAAGTAGTTTGACGTAATGAAGCCGGTCGAGAAAGGGACCTCGGACGAGTTTGAGAAAATCTGCATACCAATACCTGCTTCGCATTACAAATTCTCCAGGCCAAATTCCTCACGTTTCCATCTGCTCTGACCACTTCAGGTGCAAACTCGATACCAAACATATAATGAACAGCATGGACTACGCGTCTTGGGTATTTTCCATCTCTTGCTACCAATACCCCAAAACTTTCATCTACAGAGTTAGGAGCAATATCTGGGTCTCGATCGAAACAATTGCGCACTACAGGCAGTAAAGCTTGCTCGACTGCGCTGCGGATGAGAGATTGGGATTGAGAGTTGTCAGAATCAAGTGAAATGTTCAAGTTTGAGTTTTCGTCGTCGAAACGGGGAATGCGGATTTCGAATGGGAGAGAGATGGCCATAACATTATGTTTGCCATCGTGGTGGTAGCGGAATTCGAAGACTCCTTGAGTCCAGAAGAGTTTGTCGCCCTCAAAAATCATTTCTCCTTCCATGTAATCTTGAGTTGAGCCATCTATACGTTGCGCACCCGAAACAAACCTATTTGAAACGAGAATGCCTTTATCTGCTGGACTGGATTCGTATTCGTTAGGAACCGTGGCAACCCAACGGCCCGCTGAAGGAATTCGAGTTACTTCTCGAGATGCATTGTCAGCCACCATATACATACCTACCCAATCAGCATTACTGTGTTTTATCGGTGCTGTCCATTTCACTTTGATCGGTGCACCGTATTCGAAAACGAGAGGTTTGAATTCGTCCATTCGTTCTTGTGGAAGGCGGGCCGTGATTCCTTCTTTAGAAGTAGTACGCTTGTGCATGGCCGAGTCAAATGATGTACCCTCGATCGTAACAGAGTAATCTCTGGGATCGAAACCGGCCAAGTCTGGTGCAATTCTTGTCAGTGTTAGACGAGCAGGATATTGACTGAAGAGTGCAGAAGTATCTCTAAAGATAGTTGAAACACCGGCCGCAAATTTCGGTCTAGCGGCATCCAAAAATTCTTCGACAAAATGGCCAGTTTCTTCCAAAACTCTATCAACATTGCCATGCCATTTTTTGATTTGAGGTGGCAATGATCTCTTGATACTCTTTGATAGACCAGCTTCTGATCTAAGATTTCGGCCATACAACTTCTGCATGTGAGGTTTTTCAACAAATTGGAGGAATGCGAGTGTAAGCGTGTGACTGAGAAGCGCCAAGAAAAAGATAGCTCGGCTTCCTGTGATAAAAACTGCTCCCCAGATACCAGCAAGCCCGATGATACGTTCTGGATTATTCAGGTATCGATAGATACCGCTGTACGTTAGTTTGGGAGCGTGGTCGAAGAAAAAGTCTCCAAAGAACCATCCAAATTCACCCAAAGACTCGTAGATACTAATAGCCGTCCAGAGCTGAAGCGAAACCAAACCAGCACCCAGCACATGCCGTAACAAAACAAGTCCATAAGCCCAATCAGATGGCATTGAGTACATCTTCCAGGTTGCGGCAATGAAGCTTGCGTAGCACATTGTCATGCTTAAGTGGTACATTCCTTTCCATTGTCTCCAAGCTTCTTCTGTGCTATCACCATACTTGACGAAATGTCGTGTCCACATCTTTTTGTTCGATTGTCTATCGAGAATTATTCCGAGACCCACCGAGTACCACAAACGCCAGAATATAGCACTGATTACGAAAAGTGCCTGATAAACTGGAGTCGAGGGTGTGAGAGCAGTAATGAGAAAGACGTAACCTAGGAGTAAGAGAATAGAAACATCTGTGATCCGGAAAAGATCAATGTTGCCCAATCCCATGAGATTATGGACGGCTAATGGTTGTGTAGTATTAAGTGGAGGTGTTTGTGCGGGTGATGAATCTACACTATATTCAAGACCCTCTTTACTTGATGCTAGTGCATTGGCATGATCGATGTCGCTTGGGGTTGGATTATCTTGGTGCTTTCTGGGAGGTGGAGGGTTATATGTTTTGTCGATGTGAGGATTCTCCACAACGAGTAGAAATGCGAATTGAGCCATGTGTGCAACGATCGAGATTGCTAGCACGCTATAGCTTGCAGCCATCATTGAGATTCCATAATAACCAGCATATCCAACAGAATACATTGGATGGGGTGCCATTTCGAACACACCATCAAATGTCAATTCTTGATCGATTAGGTAAAAGAAGTCACCCCAGTACCATGCATAATCTTTTACGACTCGATGTGCGTCAAGCTTAACCCATAGGTTGAATAAAACGAGTATGATTCCTGCACCCCATCGGAGTGTTGACATGACCAGACTTTCATCAGATGGTGCGCCTCCACAAGCAATCGCGAAGAGACAGTATGATGTGAAATCACACATCAAAATGAGATCTACCACCCTTCGAAAGACCAACCATGTATTATACTCAATGGGAGCTTCCTCAAATTTGTAGTCTTCTGGTATTTTAGTCTCTAGTTCAGTCTTGATCAATTTGTATAACCACGGTCGAGGATTTTTGCCAGTAATTGGGTTTTCAAATAGATTCCATTTCTTTGCCCATGCGACTATTCTTTTGTGATGCGACTGGATATGAAGGAGATATCCAATGCCAACATTGTAGCATCCTCGCCAGAAAAGGAATAGGACTGCGAATACTGGTCTCTTCAGTGAACTAGGCAGCGCATAGAGTGCGAATATATGAAGGGCAAGTATGACCAATACGATTAAATCAGAGAGGTTCTTGGGTTGTCGAGGATCGAGCAATTGAGAAACCATATCATGAGTCTGGGGCACTGTAAATACTGTGGACCTGTTAGCTTGAAGTTTCTACACTGATACTGGCATGTGCAATCATCGAAATAAAATTCTCACTTACTGGTACCATCCGGCGTTCTGCCAAATGTCTTCTTGCCTTTGTCCAGTTCGAAGTCTTCGGACGGTGGCTCAGAACCACCACGGGCTGTCATATTATCCTCATTTGTGGTGGAAACATTGTTGATTCGTTCCCGTAAGCCATTCGAATCTGGAGACTTCATCGAAGAAGTACTCATGTCGAATGGGCTCTGCCGTGTTGAAAACGGCCGTCAAATGTAGTAGAGGCTTTAGATCTGTCAATCGAGGAGTTCTGAGCGTTTTCCAAGAAACAACACGTTGGTATAAAGAATGTAAGTGAAGTGGAGGTTAGCATGTATTTATGAGAAGCATATAGATATTTCTAAATGTTGAATTTATAGAAGTGGGTTGAACCGTATGCTGATGCTGTCCTTTTCTGCGGCGATCAAGGTTGTTGGATTTCAATTCAATGGGGTTCATTCATTAATAAAGTTGCACCTCGCACCTCGCATGTCTCCGAAACGATCAGACAGAGTGGAGGTAATTCTGACGAATGATATTGCTCAGCACCAGGAATACGGCAGTTTTACATTTGAATCTGGCTGGGAAATGGGAGATACGGGACCAGTTGAGATATGAATATGGATTTGGTTTGTCATATTGATCAATCACGAGAATGATGATGAAGTAGCTACTCGGCAGTATGTATGTGTGTGTGTGTGTATGTATGTATATGTGTGTACTAGATATGTATGAATGATTTTATGAGGAAGGTATGACATCCTTTATATCTTTTTCTTTCTTTTTTTGATTAATGTGACTATAAAAGTTGGGGAAACGCGTGGGGGATTCTGTAACCGTTTTCTCTTCTCTTCTCTTCTCTATCTAATCAATCAAATCGTGTTCATACTGTACACACATCATCTCTCTCTTCTCCGTAGCTCATTGTTTCATCTTCTCGGAAGCTGCCAACACACACGATAGTCTTCCGTATTCAATCTAATTATGCACGAGATGTTCTCAACAAAAAAAATCAGATGGAATTCTATAGAATCAAATACTAAAGATATACCAAGTAATTGACATGTGAAAGATCCAGTCGAATGGACGATCAATGATGTGATTCTATATGCATGGTCAAGGATACCTCGAAAATCCCCATTCTTTCTGCTAACCGACCAAAATCATATCTGGGGAAAGATGGAGAACGTTGACATTGTAAACTTTATTATATCAGATTCATCCTCTGTACAAGGCTCGGGTTGACGGAAGGATTCCGTCTTACCTGACCATCCCCTATCATCCACGTTTTCATCATCTGTCGTGTTACTCACAAAACACGACGGTAGCATTTCTGCAATCGAGGCTTGGACTTTTGATACATAGCAACTAGGAGCAGAGCCAATAAGAGACCTGCCCCCTGGAAAGTGACGGAGAATATCCAATTGATAAGAACGACTGTAAGGTTACCGTGCCTGTTCTATATTTCCCTCGAGAGTCATGTCTTGCCGTTTTTCATAAACAGTCTTGATCGTGGGGGTTGGTATCCATAACACGACTCAAAGTATAGTTTGACCACCTCTGTCGGACCAGAGACCTTATGTGTCAGAGCATGTGAACGCTAGTGTGCATTCAGACACAGATTCTCGTTCGTCGGTAGGTTAACTTTGTGATGACGGAAATATCAAGCAAGTCGTTTGATTGTGTGGTCCTGCAACATCGAACTTCATATTCATTTGAATGTTTGGGGCTCTAAGTAACGGGTAAGTGATGTGATGGTGTTGGAAACGTCAAAGCTAACGAACGAGCTAGAGAAACGATCACAGAACGGGAGTGACGGAAGAGATGCACAAGGTTCTGACACAAAAATGGTAGAGGACTTCGACATGATGTTCTCCGAGACCTTAGCTCAATGTCCGACAGATGTCGATATCTCAAAGAACCTCTTCAACTAGGAACTGGAATAAGCTCAGCTGATATTACAGTGCTTCTGTCTGTAGATTCACGGGTAACATTCCACATGATGAGATAAGCAATTTGACAAATAGAGGTGAGAGAGAACAGAACTTGATAGAGCCTTCGAGTTTTGATTTTGAGAAAGACACCGACTAGCTTCTCAGTCCATATGTTGTTTTAATAGCTGGAGAGTTTAGAAAGACTGATAGGAATGGACGGGTTCAGAAAGCGATAAATTCAAAGGGTTCATGCTACCCCGCCGGTAATTGGCAATTGGTAATCGGATAAACAACCTCACCGCCTTACCAATTAAGTCACTGATATTATAAACCATTCTTATCTTTAGCAAAATTCCATTGTTGCTTTGTAAACATCCTACGACTTTATCATCCCATCGACCATCCCACATTTTACATTCAATAAATAATTAACAACTTTATTCTGAGTTTGTCGCAGGAAATTATGGCTCCTTCTCTTGAGGAAAGGCCAGATGCCGTACAAGACGTCCTCTCAAATCCTCTCAAAAATGCTCCCAAACTTGTCGCCCCAGAACCCGAACATTGTCCTGGCCCAGAATCCGAAGCTGCGGGAAAAGCAGATTCTTGCGCCGGCTGTCCCAACCAAGCCATATGCGCATCTGCACCCAAAGGTCCCGATCCAGATATTCCAGCTATAACCGCACGTCTCGCTGGTATCAAACATAAAGTCCTGATTCTGTCGGGGAAGGGTGGTGTGGGGAAAAGCACATTTACAAGTTTACTTGCGCATGCCTTTGCAACAAATGAAGACAATACAGTAGGAATTATGGATACCGATATTTGTGGACCGAGTATACCCAAAATGATGGGAGTAGAAACGGAGCAGATACATGTTAGTGGTGCAGGTTGGAGTCCAGTATGGGTTATGGAGAATTTGGGTGTGATGAGTGTGCAGTTCATGTTACCCAATCGAGACGATGCCGTGATATGGAGAGGACCTAAGAAAAATGGATTGATCAAGCAATTTTTAAAGGATGTAGAGTGGGGAGAGATGGATTTCTTGTTGGTGGACACGCCTCCAGGAACCAGCGATGAACATTTGAGTGTGAATTCATTCCTTAAGGAAAGTGGCGTGGATGGGGCTTTAGTAGTTACAACGCCACAGGAAGTTTCACTGTTAGATGTCAGAAAAGAAATCGATTTTTGTCGGAAGGCGGGGATCAAGGTATTGGGGATCGTAGAAAACATGTCAGGATTCGTCTGCCCGAAATGCACACACGAAAGTCAAATCTTCCAAGCAACAACGGGAGGCGCGAGAGCTTTGGCTAAAGAGATGAACATCCCGTTCCTAGGGGCTGTACCACTAGATCCTCGAATTGGGATGTCGTGTGATTATGGCGAGAGCTTTTTCGATGCTTGGCCTGATAGTCCAGCCTGCACGGCATTGAAGACTGTTGTTAGAAAACTTGGTGAAGAAATTGGGCTCGATCCCAAGAGCATACTACCTGACGATTGAAAAGTCTTCCACGAAGTTCATTTCCTCACAGGTCACCCGATAACATGATTTGGTCAGAAAAGCGTGGTCAATATCCCCTCCGGGCACTCAGCTTCCTGTTATGTCTACCATAATACTACACATACAGTCCGTCGACTTTGCCACGGCTTGAATCCGTAACCAGAAAGCGAAGAATGCCGACAGATACTGATATAATATCAAAGATAATTAGCGTATAGAATTCGAACCAACTATGAGATTCAACAAACCGCATGATTATTGTCCAGTCCAGTGAGCTTAGCAATGCGGTGTGATTCGGGGCGGCGAGTGCCCACCTATGTTTCATCTCTCACCTGCAATTTCCACACTAGCTTAACACATTTGCTGGTTTTAGATTTCGGCAACATTTGAACCCTTGAAGTCCTTCCTTCCCCGCGCACCTCGCTGACAATTGAAGCAACGCGTATCATTATTACTCCACATATTGCCCGCATGTTTTCAAATGCACGGATTGTCACAAAGTAATCCATACCCCAAAATTGCGGATGTTACCATCTTTCTGCGTCCGGAGAGTCGAATTCGGGCAATCTGGTCTGGCTCGCTTACATTGAAATTCCTATTCTAGATATCTGAGAAAAAAGAACCGCCGGTTCAGGAAGTCGTGGCCGGATATAAACACTGATCTATATACACGTGCCTGAGGTACTTAGATATCTCGGAACATTATGCATCGGAGCTTCTTATGTGTCGGAGGATTCACTCTTTTATTTGGCAAGGCCTGGAATCACGAGATAGTTTTCAAACTCGTCTAGGTGTACATCTGTCCCTATATTATCAGGGATTCCGCTGTGCGATAACCCATTTGAGAAGTAGGGTATCTTTTGATGTTTGGTTCATCACGGCACTTACTAGATTTGCTTACATTGTGTGACTTAGCATGCACCTTGAATAACAATGCGGATGATGGGTGGTATGCAATGTCCGAGTTTTGCAGACGATACATTTGCTATAGCAAGGAATCCGCTTATATTCCTCTATAATGTCTATGTTATATGGAGTAAAGAGCTTCTAATTACATTCAGAGATCGCTTGCGCGAACTTGATTCCATCCGAAGACAAATCAGGGTGTCCCCTTTAAGCAAGTGGTCCCATGGGGCCAGTGTTCGGTTAAAGCCGATTACTCTTTTCATCTTGTTTTCCGCTCTTCTCAAGCTTGCTTATCGTGATTTGGGTCGAAAGACTCTGGATCCTCTCTCTATATACCCATTCATTAACATTAAAAGATATTGGCCAATTTGGCGTACTGGGAGAGGAAAGCGCCAGGAGCTTTCTCGGCTATACTTGCCGAAAATCATTCGTCAGAACTTTATTCACCAGAAGACTAAAGGTTTCATATGATAACAGTCAGTCAGATGCAGGTACCAACTAGTATCGCCTAAACCCGAACCAACGATTGCCGAAGCCATTGTCTTCAAAAAAAAACCATATGAATCTCTAAACCTACCACACCAGATGCAAGCTGTCGTAAGCTTTAGAGTTGCATGCGAATGGATGTATTCTAGAGGTTATCATTCGACAATCTTGTGTTGCAAGTGCTTGTGGGGATCAATTCTTTGTGAGGAAAATATTCAGCCGTGTTTCGAAGACCGGAACGATTTGAGCATCCGGAGAACGATTCCTTTCTAGGGCAGTTAGATTTTGATACCCCGGGGCCTGTATGTCAGATTGTAATGTGGGTCAAGATTACAACTCGGATGAGAGGTTTGTTCGCACGGTTTCCTTTCCACATGTGGATTTATCCACCTGCACGCACGGTACTTTTCCTTGAGACGAAATTTCACATCCCTTGTTTTAATATGGATCGATATGAACCGAAATACGAACCTACGCGGTTAGTCTTTCTGGTTTTGGTGGTTAAGCTTAATCACTCGAGGCTTCGTATCTCCCTGTAGTCCTTTTTTGGGCCTATATTCACGAATGATAATGGCCTGTTCAAACCGCGATCACATTGCGTCGCTACCCAAGCAGAAACTGCAAGGCACGAACGGATAGGGAAGAAAGGGTTCATCCGGTCTTTCTATGGCTTCTATGATTGATGGATCTTTCTGGGCCCCTGTAGACCAGCCGTGGCGATATGGTTTCTCAATGTTTACTTTTACCTGCTCAGACCCCGCTCTTTCGGTTGTCGATCGAGATATACTTTGAGTAAGTAAAAGTCGACGTTCCAACATGACGGCTGTGGGGCCTGATATTAACATTGGTGAGCAACTTCAAATCTTCAATGACTCGCTGTCGCTGACTCAATTTATAGGCGGAAAAGGTCTGGCTGTGATCTGGGCTCTCAATGCTGTCTCAATCACCATTGTTATCGCAAGATGCATGACGCAAAGATTCATCACCCGTCAACTAGGACTTAGTGATGCTTTGGTCGTTGTATCGATGGTATGTTCTCTACCTCATGAGCCACGGAACATAACTGATGATGAAGTGTACCATTTCTTCCATGGCAGCTTTGATCACAGTACAATATCACTATGGCTGGGGACGACATTACGCATATCTCGATCCATTTGATAGGATTGAGGCCATGAAATATAACGCAATTGGGCAATCTTTTGGTAAGTTCACTTTAGTAAGAGTCTCTATACAAGATATCTCTCTAACGTTTGTGTTCGCCAGGTGTCATGGGCTCAACTTTTGGTCGAATGTCCTTCATTATCCTCATGCTACAGCTATTTGGAACTTCTAAATTAAAGCACGCAGCTCTATGGACATTATTTTGGGTGCAATTTATTCCAAATTGTGTTGTTGTCGTCACATTGTACGTTCAATGTAACGACATTCGAGCTTTGTGGGACACATCAATTGTATCTTCATGCTGGCCTGAGTCTTACCAAACTGTGGGTCTAGACACCATTATCACTTGAATAATTTCTAATGGCACATTAGTATATCGGCTACGCACATACGAGTTGGAATGGCCTCACGGATCTCTTTTTGACTTGTCTACCGGCAACAATGTTGTGGAGTTTACAGATGAATCGTCGGACGAAATTTGGCTTGGTATTCTTGCTCAGTCTAAGTTTACTGTGAGTTCTACTCCTAGCTTCTTTTGTCACATTTCCTAATTTCAACTTCTCGCAGCGCCTTTGTGGGAGTTATCATGAAGATTGTGTATATTAGAGTACTTGCCGACCGAGGAGATTATACCTGTAAGTACCATGTTGATCATTAACTAACAACCCGCTGACAATACCAGACAATACAGTCCCATTCTTCGTTTGGGTACAGTAAGTTCTCCCCTTCAATTTCCATATGACTATTTCCTGACCTTCCGAAAATAGAGTCGAATCCAATCTCGTCGTGATCGCCTCTTCAGTTCCACTACTCCGTCCCCTCTTTGTCCGTCTTAGGTCCGGCGATTTCACCACCCGCAATGGCTCTACGGCTCCTACTTTTGAGATGTCAGGCTATAGTAATAAGAGAAAATCAATACAGAATAATCATATGTTTAGTGAGATAAGCGATGATGATTTGGGGCTGAAGGATTCGCGGGATGGGATGCCGATCGATGATAAGGGGAGCGAAGATCACATTTTACCGATACAGGGGGAGAAGGAAAGGGTTCTGGAACCGTGGGTGGTGAAGAAGGAAGTTAGCTATAGTGTGAGGGTTGAAGAGACGGGGGACGAGGATATCGAGAAGGGAGAGTCGGAGAGGGAGAGAGGGCGAAATCATACATTCATGGTGCCGAAAAGAGCGAGTAAAGGGAGTATGAGTATTCTGAGTAATGTTTCGATGGCGTGAAAATTACTCGGCGTGAGTTTTGGGTTACGTTTTATTGGGCTATTGGGTCTTAATTCGGTGTTGGAATGGGAATGGAATCTGGGATGAATCTGGGATGAATCTGGGATGAATCTGGGATGAATATGGATATGGATATGAATGTGGATATACTACAGCAAATCATCTCTTTGTAAGATCTTACATACCCTCAAAATCAGCTTCTGTAATCTCACATTGATTTTTCCATCGTATCTCGAGTTTGAAGACGTACTAGTGAGAAGCACCTGGATTTGAATCTGTATACTTTACTTGGATATTTAAATCGTAAATTTTCATCCTCCTCCCGCGCTCGCAAGACGGCATCATCATAATCGTCGTCATTCGAATATAATCTCATCTACACACCTTATTAAGATTACTCAGATCCGTACTGGGAAATATATATGTATATACAATACCCTCCCTCACTATATATCTTATACCTCTCTTTAATTTTCTTTAGTAATCAATTGGATTGAGCAAAACCGAAACAAATAAAAATTAAATAAATAAAATAAAATAAAATAAAATAAAATAAATAAAATAAAATAAAATAAAATAAAATAAAATAAAATAAAATAAAATAAAATAAAATAAAATAAATAAAATAAAATAAAATAAAATAAAATAAAATAAAATAAAATAAATAAAATAAAATAAAATAAAATAAAATAAAATAAAATAAAATAAAATAAAATAAAATAAAATAAAATAAAATAAAATAAAATAAAATAAAATAAAATAAAATAAAATAAAATAAAATAAAATAAAATAAAATAAAAATAAATAAATAAAATAAAATAAAATAAAATAAAATAAAATAAAATAAAATAAAATAAAAATACAACTCCAAACAAATATCGATATTGATATCAATATCAACATCCATCTATCTATCTATCCCTCCCTCCAAATGATAACCAAATAATCAAAAAACCAAATAACCAACTCATATGAAAAGAGAAAAGAATAATTCTCACGAAAACTAAAAATTGGAAATGCTCGGAAGGGAAATGCTCGAAAGGGAAGAGAGGGGAAAATGAGAAAATGGGAAAATGTATACGTACCCCATGTCTATTTTTTATATGTTGGTATGCGTTTTATGTTATTTTACTTTATTGTATTGTATTTTACAGAGGGAAAAATCTGTAAAGTATTGTAATCTGTGTTGGATACAACCATATTGGTGGGATGGGGTAGCTATAGCCAATGGGTTGTGGATGGACTGGGCTGGACTTTGTTTGAGGATGAGGGATGAGAGATGAGGGAGGGAGATTGTAAGTGTGTATTGGGGCTTGCAATTGATTTTTGTAATGAGGGGGAGGGGTTTGTGTTGCTACTGTACTCCTCCGTAGGGAGGGGAGGGGGGAACTCGTTGGTCAGACGGAAGAACTTGGGATGTTGAGATGTTGGGATATGGGAAGATTTGAATGTAGAGTGTTTTTTTTTTAATAAATCGGATACCCCACTTTCTGGCCACCCCCCTTTTGGGCCACTTTTTACACCAAAAATGGAAATTTTAACTCTCTCATTTATAAATAGAATTTCATGAAAATTTATATATATATAATTTAGATCGATTTAAGCTTATTCTGAAATTTTCAGATTTTTAGGATTTTTCTGTATTGAGATCTAGAGTTTCAAAATATCGATTTTTAAATTTGTATAGGAATCACATACAAATTTGAAACTTTTATAAAATCTTTAATAACTTTCGAATAAAAATTGCTAAAAATATATTATAAAATTTCACTATCACTTTATAATATATTTCATATAATAGATTCAAAAAAAATAAAAAAATTCTCATAAATAAATATTTAAAAAGATACTTTCAAAATGACAGGGATTATTTATACTACTCTAAACTCACTGTATACTATATCTCTATATCTGTTAATTTTTTTGAATTTTTTTTGAATTTCTATATAGATTCAAGCTCAAATATTTCAGAAATATATATAGTTTTCTTTTAATAATTGTTATTAAAAAGTTATTAAAGATTTTATAAAAATTCTAAATTTGTATATGATTCCCATACAAATTTGAAAATCGATATTTTGAAACTCTAGCTCTCAATACAGAAAAATTCTAAAAATCTAAAAATTTCAGAATAAGCTTAAATCGATTTAAATTATATATATACAAATTTTCATTGAATTGTATTATATATTAATAAAGATATTAATAGACCTAAAAAATGGTTTTTGGTGTAAAAGGATGGCCCAAAACCCTGTTGGCCCGAAAGTAGGGTAACCGACTTATTTGGTATCAAATTAGTATATCGGGATTTTGGGCTGTGGTTTGAGGATTTTTGAGTTAAGAAGTTATGTTGATAGGTTTAATATGAATAGATAGTATAGTATAATTTCCATACTTGCATGGATTTAAATAATTAGATACATTGATTGTTATAAAGAATGAAATATCTCCAACATAATCTCACATATGTATGATCTCCTCGAATAACTTGATGTCCTACAAAGTATTTTCCGTCCCAGGGAAGTATTGTATATACTCCATAATCTACGGATAGTTAGCAAGTTGGATTCAGCGCTCTCCACATGACACAGAATAGCGGGTAAACTATGATTTGTAATGAAGGATGGCTGAGCATTGGAATGAATAAGCTTTTCTGTAGCATATTGTATAAAAGCGCTGAAGCTTAATTTCTCTCGCACAAGCATTCGCAGTGCAAGACTGGGCTGCGGAACGCAGATTAGGGCCCGTTAGATGAGCTTATGGTTTGTGGATGGGGGTGTGGAATCGAGACGGGCTCGGAATTTGGGGGCCGGAATGGGGATGCGGATTTGTGGTTGTTTGGTGTACTTACTTGTCTCCTTGTGTAGGTGTACGAGAATGAAGCGATTGTTGTTTGTGGTTGAATTGGTGGCTGTACTGTGTTGTACTGACTGCACTGGTACTGACTGCACTGGTTATATTGTTGTTATCATTTTTCGGACGATATAAAGTCTTTCTTTCAACCGATAGACCCTCAAACTCTAGAAGATATCTAAAAGATTGCCTCTGTGCATGTATCTACTCTGTAAGTAATTCTCCCACTCTAGCGCAACAGTATTGATACCAGATAGGCGAAGCCCCCGAGAAACCCAGAGCACTCCACCCAACAACCCCTTGGTCCTTGCAGACGGAAACCAACCGACCTCCCCCATATACCCTAGTTTATCAGCAAGCTCCGGGCATCCCAGCCACATCACGGAGATTGAACCCAGACGTCGAAAAATCCATGGGATTTTTGTATCCTTTCCTTCTTTCAATCGATGTACTTTTGCGTTGCTTTCTTGCCTTGCTCATATTGTTAAATCGAATGTAGAGTTGATCGGGACCGAAGTGTCGATTCCATTCGATACCAATTCCCATTTGGATGGTCTGATGTGTACATCCAATAGTCCCGCTTTTGATTGGTATTCTAAATGTAGTAGTTTAATATCCGTGATTCAAGCGTTGGAGAACTCAGAGGTTGGAATTTATTGAGCCTATATACTTCCGTCTACTTTCTTCACTTGTTGATAGTGCTTCTTATCCCAGTATCTTCTTCATCTCGTTTTTTTACTTTGTTCTCTCACCTCATCTCTTTTCATCTACTCATCTCATTTGCCACTCTACCCGTTCGCTCTAGGTACCGTTTCTCGCCAGGATGAAGACTTCAGTAATGAGCACGGCTCTTGCAGCCCTTACCTTCCTCCCCTCTCTGAGCACGTGCACTCCCATCGCAAGCCCCAGCTCAGTAGCCATCTCCAAACTTACCCCATCCCTCCCCCTAACAGTCAGTGTTGTGAAGACCTTTGACTTCCCTTCATGGTGCGAGAACTTCGCCATCAGATCCAACGGCAACCTTCTCGTCTCCCGTCTCGATACCCCCGAGGTTCTCCTCGTCTCCCCCACAAACGCATTTGAGCCCATCACCGTCACCACCTTCAATGCCACTACCTACAAAGGCGCACTAGGTATCTCCGAAACCACAAAAGATGTCTTCTACGTCATCACCTCCGCCCAAGTCGACGACTCCTTCGTCAAAACCAGCGGCGTAAACTCCATCTGGAAAATCAACATGAACACCTTTGCTCAAAGAAACGGAACCATCACCTCTCCCGCCACCGTAACAAAAATCGTCGATATCCCCGGTGCCGATTTCCTCAACGGAATGACCACATTGGACAATGAAAATGTTCTCGTAGGAGATATCTACAATGGCTGGGTCTACAAAGTCTGCGTCACCACCGGCGCCTACTCCATCGCTGTCAACGATCCCAAGATGAAGTTCCCCGCGGGCGCCTCCACCAATCTCGGGGTCAACGGTATCAAAATCTCCAAGTCCTATCTCTACTGGACCAACACCGCTGTGGGTACTCTTAACAAAATCAAGATTGCAAGCGATGGAACCCCAATTGGCTCCAGCTCAGTCGTCGTAAGCAATGTTCCCAAAGCAGATGATTTTATTTTCAAGAACGACGGAACCATCTGGGTTGCGCAAAACCAAATGGATGAGTTGAGTTACATTCCTGTCGGAGCTTCTCAAGCTACTTTGGTCGCTGGAAGTAATGTTTCGACTACGTTGGCTGGTGTTACTTCGGGTCATTTTGGAAGAACTGCCAAGGATGCTAATATTTTGTATTTGGCTACTAGTGGTGGTAAGTATCCCCTTCTCCCCTGCGTTTTGTCATTTGCAAGTTTGACGGGACTAATTGGGAATAGGATTGGCATTACCCATCAATGGAACCGTGACCGTAGCAGGGAGTATCGTCAAGATCGATACCACTGGGTTTTAGCCATTAACGCCTGGGAGTGATGTCGATGAATGTGGTGGAGATATGGAATAGTATTTCAGAAAATAGAATGGCATGAATGTATGTGTGTTTGACGCTGATGTGGAATAGATATATATGTATATGCGAAAATATGGAGAATAATGATATTTTTAATAGCTAATAATCCATGTGCCGATCCGTGATTGGTGCTCT